GAGGTGTGCTGTGTGGTGTCCAGTAGAATAAGACACCATTGTGTCTCTCCTAAAGAAGCAGTTTCTCCTACCAGGAATGCCAAGTAGAAATACTGGCCTTCTGAGACTAGCACATTTTAAGTTAAAATGAAGCTGGAGGGCCCTCCCTGGTGGCGCAAGGGTTAAGGTGCAGTACTAGGAAGAGTACTAGCTGCAGCTCTTCCGCAAGAGTTCGATCCCTAGCCAGGGAGGTAACCCATATGGTACAGCAGACCTTTCCTGTCTCACCTGCTGCTCCCCTCGGCAGTGTACTTCGCCCATCTGCCTGTTCTGCTCCCTGCTCTGTCTCTAGTGAATCCTTGCACCTCCCTGCACCTCTGGCCTATACCCCAGTTCTGTATGCATAAATTAATAAATCTTTAAAAATAAAAAAAAATAAAATGAAGCTGGAACTTGGAACTCTTACATGAAATGCCTCTATTTTTAAATGTCAATGATTGACAGTTAAAGAAATGTTATTAACCCATCACTGGCTTCCTGGGATCAATTCATGCTGCAGTAGCTGGTGATAGCTTGATAGCACCAAGGCTTTAAGCCCTGCACCACCAAGGATGACCTCTTTCTGGTTTTTCTTAGTCCCACATAGCTTATTGGATTAGAAAACATCTATTCTATGCTTGGCTGAGTCGTTTTTTGGCTTTGCATTCTTCAGAAATTGACTGTAATCTCTGGTAATCTCTGGGCCTCACTTTCTTACTTACAAGCTGAATTATATACCATTATCCCTTTACTATGGATGAGGAAGTTGAGGCTTGGGAGGTTTGAGTATTGCTCTAAATGACACAGTTATAAATGACAGAGTGGGGACCTTAAAAACCCATCTTCCTAGTTATTTATACTATATGAGAATGGCGGTTATAAAGATTCCTGAGCCGCTCCCCACCCCCCAAAGTATGAAACCAATTGTTCATGTATCTTCGAATCATTCTGTCCGATGTCCCCAGGGCTCAGTCAGAGATCATGGGAGCAGGAATATTGTGGGAAAGGGGTCCTTTGGGCATTGCTCTGCAGATCTATGGGAGAAAAATACGAGTAACTGGGAGGAGCTCCCAGGAGGGGTTGGGTTGCCTCCAGGCTGTGCTGGTCCTAACATCCTTTGTACCTGCCTTCCCACCAGGTGATGTTCCCTGCTTTCCTGGGTGAGCAGGTAGCTCCTGAGGTGCTGGCAGCCACACTGGCAGAGTTGGATGTGTCCCTGCAGCTGCTTGAGGACAAATTCCTCCAGAACAAGCCCTTTCTTGCAGGGACCCACATTTCTCTGGCTGATCTGGTGGCCATCACAGAGCTGATGCATGTGAGTTCTGTGGACAGGTTGGACCTGCTAGGTGTGTGTGGGAGGGTGCGGCTGGGTGGTTGCTGAAGTCCTTCTCACGCCACCCTTAATCTGACCACGACAGTGCTTATGGATCTAAACCTCTTTCAGAGCTCCATAGCCCCTCAAACCAGATGTTGCCATCCTTAGCCTCACCCTTCCACTCCCTTTCTGTCTCCTTTCTCTCTGTAGCCCGTGGGTGCCGGCTGCCAAATCTTCGAAGAAAGACCCAAGCTGGCATCATGGCGCCAGCGTGTGGAGGCAGCAGTGGGGGAGGACCTCTTCAGGGAAGCCCACGAGGTCATCCTGAAGGCCAAGGACTCTCTACCAGCAGACCCCACGATAAGGCCGACACTGAAGTCTAGAGTGCTGGCCATGATCCAGTGAGCCATGAAGCCTCACCCAGCCACTGTTCTTAGCAGTTCACAAAGCACCCTTATTTCCAAAGTGCCATGCAAGGCAGGCTTGCAATCAGGAGTGGCTTGTTCACAGCCACTGCACCTCTGCTTCCCGGGCCAGATCCCTAACCCCAGCTCGCCGTCCGTAGCTGCCTGGAAGCCATGATCAGGATGGCATGCCCAGACCTTGTCTCCTTTAATCACTGCATTTTGTTTTCAGTTTGGGAAATAAACCTGAGCTCAGCCTGAACCCCTGCTTCTAACTCTGATGTGTGATTTATTTCACCTTCTGTCTCTACTGGTGCTGGTCTTTGTCTCTGTCTAAAAAACGATCCCCCTCCCTAGGCCCTGTGGGTTAGTTTTCCTGGATGGGTGAGAATGAATAAATGTCCTCTAGCTTTCAAGTTTGTAAAAGCTGACATAAGCAGCTTTTTGAAAATGTTGGTGCACCCATTCCGGAGAATCTACGGATAGCTTGAATCTATCCTTAGATTCAACCTGGGTAGACAGTTTGGACTGGGTCAAACTGCAGTTGCTCTGAGAAATTGTCAAGAAAACAACTATTTGGGGCCTTCCTCATGGCACAGGAGTTAAAATCTCAGCACTATCAAGCGATCACCAGCCACTGGCCTGAGTTCATAAGAATTTGATCCCCAGCCAGAGAGCTGACCCACATGGCACACCAGATCTCTCCTGTCTCTCCCACTGCTCCCCACAGTATATTTCAGTAGATCTGCCTATTCTGCTCTCCATTCCAGCTCTGGTGAATCCTCTTACCCCCTGTGCCTCTGGCCTACACCCCAGTTCTTGCACTCATAAATAAATGAAAATAAATCTCTAAAAAAAAAATACTGCTCAGACTTTTGACCTGAGGATAGAATCAATAACTAGTTATGTATAGCCAAGAGTACTTAAGCTTGTCATCATTATGTGCCCACTATGCACAGTTAGGAATCTGCATGTACATCTACTATTTGACCTATGACCTGTTTGCTTTGAGTTAACTTCCTAGTCCAGGAGGTGCCTGGAAGAGTGATGGATGCCATTTCTGTCAGAGACTGAGCCATCCCAGGAGTGACTGTGCTCTAAATCCAGATGTCAGCAGACGAGGAGCTGAAAAGAGACATAGGGCACCACAAAACTACCAGAAATTGCTAATTGCAAGGAGTGAAGGCTGTTCACTGATAATTAACTGTCTTTGTCTAACTCACTATAAAGTTGCTTGTTTGAGATAAGGTGTTAGAATGGTTTTCCTTGGAGCATGAGCATGATGTTCTACCATTCTTAGATTAGCTTGCTGATCTTATTGAAGTGCATATTAAAGATTCACTCCCTGGTCTTTATCTTTTGGTTTTCACAGCTGTGGCAGGCAGAAAGAATCTGGCATTTTCCTGGCAACAGCATGAGATGAACCCTTTTAAAAACTATTTACCGCATCTTCCTCTTTTCTTTCTACAAAACCCCCTAGCTTTTGTTCCTCTTAGGGACAATGTGTTCTCTTAATTGCAATTCTTTTATCCCAAGTACATCAATATATTTTAATTACCTCCTGTTTTTTAGGTTGAGTTCTTGGAGTGAGTAACTTGTCAGAGAGCACAGGGGCCCAAGCAGCCCACATAGTCTCAGCAATAGGAATGGTGACCCATCAGTTGGCTGGGCCAGCCTCCCAGGACATGACCCATTGGTACCAAGTTCTGTAGACCATGACTCCTGCATTTGTTCTGAGGAATTGGTCAGGAGGGAACAATGTAAATGGCAGCTCTCCTGATCAAGTCTCAGTGATGCAGGGCCTTAAAGGCTGTGCTTAGGCTCTATAAGACACAAACAGGAGGGCCTCTCTGGTGGTATAAGGGGTTAAGTTCCAGCACTAAAAAGCTGAGTTCAGTTCCATCCTTAGCCAGAGAACTGACCCATAGGGCATAGCAGACTTCTCCTGTCAAGCCTGCTGCTCCCCTCAGCAGTGTATTTCAGTCCATCTGACTGTTCTGCTCCCACTCTGTCACTTGTGAATCCTCTCATACTTCCCCCTTCCCTCCCCTACACACAGTTCTTGTATACATAAATAAATGAACGAAATCTTTAAAAACCCACACACAAGCAGGAATGGAGTGCTCAGATTATGTTTTAGAACATTCTGAGCTATTGTGGGGGGTTGGACTACACGGCAGCCAAGAAGAAAGCAGGGAAACTAGATATTGCAGTAATCGGGTCAAAGGTTATTTGTGAACAGGCCAGTAAGTTAAGTGGACCCTTCTGGTGACAGGGTTGTACCAGTAGGCCAGCAAGGCTTGTTCTGGGGGTTTGGGCAGGTAGTGGTCTTCTTAAAAGGGGAATGTGGGAAAGAAGTGGGGACATTGTAAGCTCCCCTGTAAACTGTAAAACCCACAGGGCTTCCACTTCCCAGAGTGTTGAGAATATGACGCCAGGATTAGGGTGAGGCGGCTTATTCCTTCCAGGGGGTGTGGGCCTGGCACCTGCAGGCATCAGCGTTCATACACCCTCTCCAGCCTCCTCCCAGGTCACTGGACCCAGGGGAGATGGGGCACTTACTTTCTCCTTCCTTTCAGTTCCCCGGGGCTCAGAAGCCCCACCTCCCACAAATCCTCTTGGAGGGCAGGAGGGGTGGCTTGGGCCGACTGTTCCAGATCGCTGTCCAGTCTTTACCGCCCTAAATTCACCGAGCTTCTTTACTGGAAGCTCCTCTAGGGTCCTATTTGCCATCACCACCCCCCGCACTTGAAGACGGGTCCTGTTTGCCATCACCACCCCCGCACTTGACGACGGGTCCTGTTTGCCATCACCACCCCCGCACTTGACGACGGTAGACCTCGCGGTCCAGGGAAGAGGTATGGCTGGGCTGCGAAACCCAGTTTCTCCAGAAACGACATCCATCTTTGCCAGGCCCTTTCCAGCCCCCTCCTTCCCTTCCCTTCCTCGCGCCCGCTGAGCCTAGCACTCCAGACTTCCGGAGAGGGAAGTAGGGAGAGCAGAGGCTTCGCTGATTGGCCCAAAGTTCTCCGGAGCCGTCCAACGGGAGCGGGCGGTGTGTGTGTGTTTGTGTGTGTGTGTGTGTGTGTGTGTGTGTGTGTGTGAGCGGGGCGGGGGGCGGGGGTGTCGGGTGGGGCCGCGGGAGCCAGGCGCGCTAGCTGGAGACGGCGCGAGACAGCGGGTTCGGTGGCCCGGCAGTTCCTTCCTGCGGGTACAGTACTCTATCCTGCTCCTCGGGCTTGCCTGCCGCCCCGGCCATGGGCCTGGAGCTCTACCTGGACCTGCTGTCCCAGCCCTGCCGCGCCGTCTACATCTTCGCCAAGAAGAACGGCATCCCCTTCGAGCTGCGCACCGTGGAGCTGCTTAAAGGTAGGCGCGGCCGGCGGCGGAGGGTCTGGGTGGCCTGCGTGCAGAGCGAGCCCCACTCCGCCGCGTCGCCTCAGCCAGCTAGCGTGTGCCGACAGACTGGGGGAAGAACAGACTCTCCAGAGAGCTGCCACCTTTGTCTAGAGAATAGAAACATTTTTCAAAATGCTGGTTAAGAGGCAGGTAGGCGTTGGGGAGGGTCGAGCGAGGGTGCTGTGCAAGGAAGTGGAGAGAAGACCTGGATACCTCAGCCGCAGGATTTGGAGAGAACAATGAAACTCTATTTCCTAGTAGGGGTATTTCCCATCTTCAGCATTTCTGCACCTGCCATCGGGGGAAGGTGTTTCACTTGCACCTGGGTGTCCGTCCTCTTTACTGCTCTCGACCCTGCCTAGATCTCCTGACGTTTTCAGAATCCAGTGGAGTGGGGGCAGGGCTGTAGCTGGACTGTAGGGGAAATTCTGGAGCCAGAACTCGGTCAAGCTAGGGGGCCACCCATTTTCTGTTCGTGGTGCACCCAGCCTGGCCATGAACTGTTGCTGTTCCACCTGGCTTGGTCATTCCAGCATTCCTTGGGACAGGGGCTGAGCAGTTTCTGTAGGGAGAGTAGGTAGGGGTGATTCTGTCCACTCAATAGAAGAGTAGAGAGGCCCACCGGTGTGTCCTTAACCAGACCAGAGCCTGGCTCCATTGCAGGCTTGGGCGCTGCACACACTGTGTGGTGTGTCCTCCAGCATTGGCCCTGCTTGGGGTATGCAGAAGTGAGTCATACTGGGAATCCCCTCTGGAAGAGAACTTTGACTCACAGCCTACTCCATGCCCAGGCCCATGATGACACTGCTTGACCCAGGATCCAAGGGGTCCTGGCATATGAGCAGGGAAGGTGGACTCTAGTGGAGGCAGGGTCTGTGATCCAATGACCAGAAGAGTGGCTTCCCTTTTCCTGTTGCCCCACCTGGGGCCTCAGAACATTGGTGCCTAGATGTTGAGGTGGGGGTATGGCAAAGACCTCAAAGGGCCCAGAGTCCCCCCCCCATCACCTCACTGATCTCTCCCACAGGCGAGCACCACACTGCTGCCTTTGCCCAGGTGAACCCTCTAAAAAAGGTACCAGCTTTAAAAGATGAGGACTTCACCTTGGCTGAGAGGTAACCTGGGCTTGTGGGGCCAGTCAGCAGCCATCTGTATGTTCACTGTTGACGGCTTGGGTTGTAGGTTATGTACCCCGAGCACTTTTGCCAGCCCCAGGGTAGAGAGTGGGCTGAAGCAGAAAGTGCACAGGGCTGGGAGGGGCTAGTGAAGTCCTACTTCCCCTGCATTGCAAAGATGAAGCCAGGAGAGGGAGGGACTTGTAGCAGGTCACAGGTCTCCATCTGCTTCTTCACCTTCTCACTGCCAACTCAGACCTCAGGCAGGAGAGATCTAACTATGGAGCAGCAGCCATACCAGGTACTATAGAGCCACCGTGTCTGCTGAAAATACGGTCAGGCAAGTGCATTTCCCTAAATTGAAGGAATATCCAGAGACCTTCAGTGGCTGATTGGCGAGCACTCATCTGGGCCAGGAACTGTCTAAGCCCTATGGTTAGATCAGTGCACACTTCTAAGCCTTTCTCTACATGAAACTCACATTCTAGAATGGGGTTCTGTCAATAATCTTTGTAAATGGGTAACATCAGGTAGTGATGATGTCATGGAGAAAACAAATAGGGTAAGATGGGGTTGGGTACAATTATCAGTAGGCTTTTGAGTTAAGGCTCCCTTGAGACAGGGACATGGCACATGAGCAGAGACCCGCAGGACCAGAGGGGCAAGGTATGAGAGTTCTGACTGGCAGGAACAGTGAGCTTAAGTGGGGTGATGCTTGGGTACAGGCAGAAGAGCAAGGGGTTAGCATGCTGGGTAAGTGAGGGGAAAGAGCAGGAGGTGAGGTCCAACTTTAAGTGGAGGAGAGCTGTGATCCAACATGAGTTTTAAAGGAATCATCCAGATGGGTGGGGAGGCTGCTGGGTGAGCGAGAGGTGCTGGGACCTCAGACCAGGCTGCTGGTGGTGATACAGGAGAGGTAGTGGTCTATTCTGGCTGCTCCTGAAGGTTGAGCTGAAGACGTTTCTGAAGGGCTGAAGGTAGACAGTAAGCGAGAGCCCAGGCCAGCTTCCAGGTTGGTGGCTGAATAGTGGCATTCTTTCCTGGAGCCCACATAGTACCTCCATAGTAAAGCCAGATTCATGCTTTACTTAAAACTACAGAGCCTGAGGTCGCTGGACAGGCCAATACCCATGGAGGCATGGTGTTCTGGGGGGTCAGTATGCTTCAGCCAGGCCTGATGTCGGTAGGGAGAGAGGTAAGGAAGATATGGGAGAGATTTCTGAGCGAGGGGCCTGGAGTCTTAGGGCAGGTGGAGAGGAGATGGCACAGGGCTGGGAACGGTGCCCCATGTCATCTGGGAGGCCTTGTTCCGGACCCAGGAGAACATGAGGGCCAGCTGACCTTGCTCCTGGCGTGTCCATGCCAGGAACAAGGATATATTGGGGAGTGATATCCAAGTTGCTCTTGTCCTTCAAGGCCTATGCAGGCTCCCCTTACATGTATAATTAATACACACACATACATATATGCATGCCCTTACTGTACATGGCAGAATAGGCCAAATAGAACTGTGTGACCCTGGGCAGACACCTAATTTCTCTGAGACTCACATTCCTGCTCTGCACCATGGAGATTGTGAAATCCTCTACTCACAGAGCTAAGAAAAGATGTGTGAGCGGGGGTGGTGGGGGGCGGGGACGCAGCTTTCCCTACTCGGGACCTGACTCTCTGGTGTGTCTGCAACATGACTGGGATGTCTTGCCCCTGCCGTGTCCCCCAGTGTGGCCATCCTGCTTTATCTGAGTCGAAAGTACAAGACTCCAGACCACTGGTACCCTGAGGACCTACAGGCCCGTGCCCGTGTGGATGAGTACCTGGCATGGCAGCACACAGGCCTTCGGAGCTGCTGTACCCGGGCCATGTGGCAGAAGGTAGGCTGAGCCTGGATCGTGTGGCACAGGGGATGGGGAGGGCCCAGGATGCTCAGAGGATGGATGATACTTTCTATTTTTAAACTTTCCTGCAGATTTGAGACCTTCAAACACCAAATTCTAGCATGCCGGAGACTCCCTAGTCTAATCAGCTAGTCCCAGAGGGATAGCCGAGGTGTACAGTTAGGAAGTGATTCCTCTGATATGCCTTGATTCCTGAGCTCTAGATACTGGTCCCATGCACTTTTGTACTCTTTGAGCTTCCTGGGAATATTGCTTTTTGGGGGAGAAAAAGCCAAAATGTTTGTTTTGCCTTATACATTCTTTTCACATGGTGTTAAGTGAAAAAACTCAAACTGGAAGAAAAGAGGAGGCATTTCATTAAATATTGATCTGATTTCTGAGTATACAAGGATTTCTAAGGCCAATAACAGTGGAAGAACTTTAGGAAAAACTTAGTAAAACTTGCATGTTTTGAATAAAGAAAAAGCATTAAAAAGAGCAAAAAATGTGGGAGGATTTTGGCAAAGATGTGAGAAAGAAGAAATGTTCTTAATATTTAAGATGCTCTTATAAACCTATCAGACAAAGGTAGACGAGAAAAACAAGCACAAGAAGCCAGGCCAGAGATTTAGTTGAAGAACAGAGAGAAATGGTCAATAAATGGCTGAAAACACATTTAACTTTGGTAAAAATCAAGTAAATGCATATGAAAACAGCACATGCTTACCATATTTGCTTATGAAACATGCAGAGGTTTTTGCAATGTCTGCTTTGAGTTACTATTTCTGTAACCTTGAAAGTATCTTCCTTGAGGTAGTGGGAGTTGGAGCCTGGTGCATTTAAGGACAGAATGGAGAGAAGTCAAGTAGAGCGAGTATATAGACCTTTGTTACTCCTAGTGTGGGCCACACGCCTGGGGGTTAGCATCACCTGGGAGCTTGTGGGAAATGCCACTTGAGTCAGATCCCAGAGGGACTGGCATGTACATTACCATTTGAGAAGCCTGGGTGGAGTAGGAGAGGATGACTGGGTGGAGAGTGAGGAGAGGATGACTGCTGGGGAGAGAATGGGCGTTGTGTTAAGACCTTTATGATGAGAGAAGTGAGGTGCCATGGAAGGCTTCATATGGGGAGAAAATATGGACAGACTGGAATTGTAGAAAGGTCTCCCTGGTTGTCCTGTGTAGGACCTAGGGAGGCTGAGTAGATGAGGTCTGAGCTAGTAGTCACCACTAGTGGGGAAGGGGTGGGTGGGCATGATGGGAAATCTGAGAACTGGTGATGGACTGAGGGGGAGCAGGAACCAAATCCTGAGCCCTGAGCCCTCTCTTCTGCTGCTCACCTACCAGATGTTGATCCCTGTGTTCTTGGGAGAAACAGTGCCCCCTGAGATGCTGGCATCCACGCTGGCTGAGCTGGATAGATGCCTGCAACTGCTTGAGGACAAGTTCCTGAAGGACCAAGCCTTCCTTACTGGGCCCCACATCACAGTGGCTGACTTGGTAGCCATTACAGAGATGATGCATGTAAGTGCTGTGCAAAGGGTGGCCCACAGGCAGTGAGGTGTCTTGGGAGGGAGCCAAAGTATCAGCTCATTGTGATCTTTCTACCTATGGGACCCTTGATGAGTCACTTCCCCTTGAGAGTCCTCGTTTATAAAATGGGACTTCAAAGGGGAAAATCCATCACTAAGCCAGGTCTTGATGCCTTGTGTTTGACCATGTCCAACCCTTCCACCTGCCTTCCTCTCCCCATAGCCTGTCAGCGCTGGCTGTCAAGTCTTCAAAAGCAGACCCAAGCTGGATGCTTGGCGCCAGCGTGTAGAGGCTGCGGTGGGGGAGGACCTCTTCCAGGAGGCCCACGAAGCCATCATGAAAGCCAAAGACCTGCCTCCAGCAGACACTGCCATGAAGGAGAAGCTGAAGCCTTTGGTGCAGGTTTTTTTGCATTGAGTGAGGGGCTGGGCCTGCAGAGCCACTGATGACAATAAAGACCGTTTTCAGAATAAAAAGCTGGGGTGTCCCCTAACTTGACTGTGAGCAAGAACCCCTGTGTGGTTTCTGGTTCATAGCTCCCTCCGTGTATCAGTTCTTTCACTTTTCTTCACACTCCTCGTTGTCCCTTTCGCTTCTACTTCCAGGTGACCTCTGGAAAGAGCTTTAGTAAACATATTTAACCCTGTCCCTCTGTTTGAAATTTTCCTTGGTTCCTCTCTGCCCTGGGGTGAAAGTACAAATCTTTGAGCTTTGCATTGGAGGCCTTGTTCCCACTGCTGCCCTCTTGTGGTCACACATATGTAGTCCATCGTGTTCCCCTCCCTCTCCCAGCTGTCACCTTGGCCTCCTTGCCTTGAGTCATTTCAGTTTCTGCTACCTCCAGAGCCTTTTTCTGGCATTTGCCACTGTGTTACTTTTCTAGGGAGATGGCCCCATATCCCCAACCTAGAACGAGTCAGGTGATCTCAGGATGAGAAACACTCATCCCAGTGTTTCTCTTTGTCCTGTCAGGGAGCTGGTTCCATATCCCCTGGGCTGAGCACAGGTTACTGATCTTATAAAGAGATGTTTGAATTAGTAATGACCTTGGCGTCCTAGTTTTCTCTCCTTCCACTGGGGTGTAATTCTACCCCCCAGGTGAATCCCCTTGCAGGAATGGAAGTCCCAGGCTATCTTCTAGCCCTCCAGGTGCTGCCAAGAGACGTCTTCACTTATGCCTGTTCTTAATGCCCACATTGTGTGCTCCATGCCCCACGCTGGGTCCCAGGCTTTCAGCCTGACCCTCCCCTTTCCCTTCAGGTGTATGACAACCTACCTCTGATAATATAGTCATGCAATAAAGAGCTAACGGGCAAAGCCACCAATAGAGCCTCTCAGTCCCCCATGGAGGCTCCATAAATATGTACACTCATAAAATTTTATAAGTGTAATTGAGATTGTTCATACGTACCTACACAACTTCAATTATATTTTCATGTACAACTCAAACAACCTCACAAGGCTAATGAGTGTATGTACCATGTTTAGCCACACCAACAGATTCCCACATTTTAAATAACACTTCTGTTTTGCCTATAAAAATACAGGGGTACCATAAATATTGCTGGGAATTCTGCTGAAACCTGACTCCTACCCCCTATTGTACAATTCTTCACTCTAAGGCAAAGTGTGCTATCAGCACGTGTGACAGAGGTCTGTCGGAGCCAGGCAGGGATGTAGTCAACCCAGTGTTCTCTGCACAACCCCACCAGCGCCCACTACCCCTCACCAGGTCTTCTGATGATGAGAGGCACGAGATTTCCGCAGTGAAGATGATTTGAAAGGATGGCCACTCCTTCAAGGAATATGTTAAGCCTCATGGGGATATAATAAGTGTCTCGCCTGGGGAAGTCCCCTATATGTGCATGCATTTTGAGAGTGTTTAGAACTCCCAAAGGAAAACAAATGATCTGAGCGCCACAAAGAAACGGAAGAAACCCGGGCCAGTTTGGAGCGGGGCGGGACTAGCGCGCGTCCAAAGTCTTGCTTGGGAAGGGTTCCCGGGAGCAGGAGGGCGATGGACTTCCGGAAATCTGGGCCGGCGAACTCGAGGGGGTGTAGCCTAGCCAGCCAATCGCGGGGCGCTGCGTGCTTGTCCAGCCAATGGGGAGCCCTGTGTCCAGGCCGCCCTGCCGCTGCTTCCTATTCCTCGGCACCAGGGGACACCTATCCCTCCTCCGAGCGTTCTTCCTCGCCGACGGCCGCAGGCTCCCTCTCCCACCCGACATGCCGTTTGTTGATCTGGAGACGAACTTGCCCGCCAGCCGCTTGCAGGCGGGGCTGGAGAAGCGGCTGTGCGGGGCCGCGGCTGCCATCCTGGGCAAACCCGAGGACGTGAGCCGGGGCCCGGGAGCAGTGGGATGGGGGAGGGCTTTGTCCACGCCGCTTGTCTTTCCCCACCGTGACCTGACTTTCTTCCCAGGGCCCCCCCCCCGCCCCCCCCCCCGCGCGCACACTCGCCCACCAAGCTCTGACAGGTCGCGGGGACCTCGCGGCCCCGTCCCCTTAGACCCAAGCCTGCTCCCTGTTAGCTTCGCAGCCACGACCCCGACGTGACCTGCGAGGACCGTGCTCGTGCCCGCGCTCGGACCCTGCGGAACCTCGGCGTGAGGACTGCCTGCTCCGATTTCAGGAGAAACTTTTGTGTCCCCCACAGCGTGTGAACGCCACGGTGCGGCCAGGCTTGATCATGTCCGTCAATGGCTCCTCCGAACCCTGCGCGCAGCTGCTTGTGTCCTCTATAGGTGTGGTGGGCACCGCAGAGGAGAACCGCAGCCACAGCGCCCGGTTCTTCGAGTTCCTCACCAAGGAGCTGAATCTGGGCCAGGACAGGTGTGTAGGGGCAGGGAGACCACCCGCTTGGGACGGCCACGCCACCTCGGACAGGCTTCCACCTCAGTCCCTTCTCAAGATGGGGGAGTCAATGCATTCCTCCTTCTGTCCAAGAAAGGCCCCATTACCCCTCCACCCTGCTGGTGAGTCTGACCTTCAGAGTGGTAACTGAATGGACTGACTTCCCCCCTCTGCAGTGGTCCCTGTCACTTTTGGGGAGGCATGTCTCACTACTTCAGTGTTTCTGTGAATCTGTTCCCTGGGGGGCCTGCAGAGGTCATGTGAGTTGGTGTGCTTTGTATCTTGGCAACTGGCAGTCTAGCATGTTGTTACTTAGCACAGTCATGGTCGTTTCACCTTCCTTCAGGCTTCTCCACATCGAGAGTAAGAACAAATATCAAAATGAGATAAATAAATATGATATAAAACCAAAACAAATGTAAAATAATATAAAGAATAATTTCCTAGAACTTTTCAGGATTGGTTAAGAGGAATTTTGAGTTAAGTCCTGAAGCTGTGTGACCTTTGGGCCTGTGACCCAACCCTGGGCCCCTGATGAGATGAGGCTCCTGGGAGGGTCATAGAGTAGTGGAAAGAACATTGACCTGGCTCTGGAGACCTGGGTTCTGGGTACAGCACACTGGGTGGACTCCAGACAAACTTAGAACTGCACATCAATGATTTGTGGTCTTCTTTTTATGGCTAGGGGGTCATGAATACAGTGATCCCCTAAGAAGTCTCTATAGGTCCCAGACCTGGGATTCTGTGGCAGGGTTAATTTTCTTTTTGTGTGAAAAATATCCCTGATCCGATTCCCAGCCTATGAGAAATTAAGGGCATCCAAAGCTTGAAAGAACCTTCTAGAACAGAACCTTTAGTGGCCCAGGAAGTCTGGTGAGGAATGGACATGCTTCTTGGTTGCTTCAGACTTGTCACTGGGGAGACATAATAATTCTTTTTTTTTTTTTTTTGAAAGATTTATTTTGTTTATGAATACAAGACCTGGGAAGTAGGTCAGATGTACAGAGAGGGTGTATATGTGATAGGATTCACCAGAGAAAGAGTGGGGAGCAGAACAGGCAGATCTACTGAAATAAACTGCTGAGGGGAGCAGCGGGAGAGACAGCAGAGGTTTGCTGGGCCATGTGGGTCAACTTCCTGGCCAGGAATAGAACTCATGCTGTAATGGCTGCCCATAGCTTGATAGTGCTGAGACTTAACCACCGGGAGGCCTGAGACATAATTATACTAACAGTAAGTAACTTGTGAATCTTACTATAAGCCAAGTTACACCATAGGTACCTTATACGCATAATCCCATTTGATCCTTGCATGTTCTTTCCCCTTGTCTGTGTACACTCATGCAGGCATTCCATTCCCATGAGATAGATACCTCTTTTGGCCTATTTAGAGAAGGTACAGAGCCTCTCTCTCACCCCACAGGTTATCCCCAGTATGTTGGTCCTCTTCACCATGAACTTCTTTTCACTTCTGTGAGAGGGGACAGTCATTCATTCTAGAACATTATTTGGGGTCACCCTATGACTGGTTTGAGCCAGGCTTTGAGAAAACAAAGATGCCTGGGGCACTTTGCATGCCCTCAGGGAGCTGGTAGTTTGGAAGAGGGAGGGTTACCCTTCTGAGTTCATAGACAAAATAAACAATGACCAGAGACTGGTGTGTTGAATGTCCAGGTCCAGCAGCATCCTGTCCCCTGACATGCCCATTATCCTGCCTGAAGTTAGGGGAAAATTTCAGTGGGATAACTCAGCTTGAACAATGCCTATTGGCTAAGGCAGTTTGTCCTTGGGATCCCATGATGGGAGAGCCTGGTTAGGGGTCTTGGAACTGAGTTGTTAATTAGGAACTAATGTCATTAGTTAGGAACTGATGTCTTTTTTGGAGTTTGGGGTTCTTGGGTTCACTCTGGGAAAGGTTTCACCAGAGCTCCCATTTCAGCAACATGCAGCAAGTTCCCCAGGGGAATTTCTCTGCAAGGGAAATATAACAGAGAATCAGTTACAGTTAAGGAGTAGGTTTAATAGGAGCAGGGACAGAGAAAAACACTTGCATAGATGCAAGTGGACAGGAGGAGCTGCCCCAAAGGGACAGTTTTGCTGAGAGAAGCCAGCATGGTTGCAGGTAGGTGACCTTAGGAGAGCAGCCTCCTTTGAGGGAGGTCAGTGCAGAGAAGTCCCAGAATGGTTCAGGTCATGGGCAGGCAGGAGGCAGCTGCCCTGCTGAGGGAGAGAGCGGGTAGAAAAAAGCGCCTGCATAGTCACAGGTGCTGCCCTGAGCCAGTGCTCATATAGTTCTTTTCTCTTTGGGAGGGGTTCACTCCTTTGTGGAGTGGCCTCCTTGCTGCTGATTTTGGGTAACTATGTGGAATCTCACAATGGGCCCAATTTCTGTATCTTCACCTCAGGTCTGTGCTTCCGATATGCACCACAGCAGTCTGATCTAGGAGTCTCTAGGGCTGGGTTAATGGTCATGTTATTTCCTTCTGCTCCCTCCCCCTTGCATTAGTCAGGTTCCAACTTTGTGATGGGCCCTCAGGTTTTCTACTGCTTTCCTCCATCAGGAACTAATGATATTTTTTTTCTCTATCTCCTGAAGGATAATTGTCCGCTTTTACCCTGTGGAGCCCTGGCAGATTGGCAAGAAGGGGACAGTCATGACATTTTTATGATGGGCAAAGAGGCCATCCAGAGTGTTTGTGAACTGGCCATCCCTTCCAGAGAGACCTGCTGGCAGAGTAAGGGCCTGGTGAATACCAGTTTCTGGCACTGCCTCATGCAGTCATGCTGTGACCTCACATTCCTCTCCTTCTCTTCCTTATAACAAATAAATGAAGAGAGCTTTGTCTTTCAAACATGACTGCTTCACCTCTCTTTATCCCTCCCTGGTTTATGAGGTAGGGATTTAGAGGAGTGGATGGTGTCCAGCTGCTGTTTCATGCACTTAGTCTGCTTAAATCTGAATTGGAAGTTTTAGCTTGGAGGCCTTGCTCTCTATACCTTTGTAGGATTCTTGGACCCAATTTCCGAAATGTGAGTGTGTAGAGATTTGCCCACACCAACTGACAATTTTCAGAACCAGCTCAGATGAGAATCCAAAAAATATTTGATTCAATTTTGACACTAACAGATAGCATCAGATTCCACAAGTTAAGGGCTTAGTCTCCCAAGACTACTCGTGGCTACTGGTTTCCATGATCCACTGTTCAGGTTTGATTATGGATCATTTGTTTGACTGTCATATAACACAGAAAACCCATTTCTTACTAGGTCATCGGTTACAAAAGGCTCTGCCTCAGAGAAATCAGTTGGAAGAGACATGTGTGGGGTAAGGGAAGGGGAAAGGTGTGAGCTTCCATACTCTCCACGTGTGCCACTGTCCCCAGATCTCCCCATGTTCACCAATCCAAAAGCTCTCTGAGTCCCTCCTTTGGGTTTTTATGAAGGTTTCATTACATACGAACGATAGATTAAATTAATTGCCACTGGCAATTGAACTCAGCCTTCTGCCCTCCTAGGAAATCTATTCATGCTGGGTTTCCCTGACAACCAGTCCCCACCAGCCTTGTTGGGTGGGTAGTTGGGGGGGGGGGTGTTCCAAGTTACCTCATTAACATAACAAGAGACGCTTTCCTCTTTTGATACTTAAAAATTTTTTAAAGATTTTTATTGGGAGCCTGAAACTGGGGGTGAAGACAAAATATGTATGAGAAATATGTTCTGGTTTTTTGAGTGACAAATATATATTTCTTATAAATTACAATATCAAAATGTGCATGTTCAGGAGCTGGCATCTTACAATGTGAGACCTTCCTGCAGATTTTAACTTAGGGTGGCCAGAGTAGTTAGGGATCCCAAAGACTGCTGTGGCTGTCCGGGAAGCTGGGCTGACTATGCTCCTCTCTACAGTATTGCATTCCCAAATTTTGTCTTCTCCTCAGTCTTGCTGAGAATTCTCTGTAGCTGTGCACTTTGTAACACCCATTCCCAGAATGGCAAACCTGGAATTGCAGTGTCTGCTACCAGAAACTGGATCCCCCACCCCCATCTAAATACAATATCATGCATTCAGAGGATAAATGGACAGGCTGGGAGTGGGGTGTATGTGGGGAGAAAGCCTAAAAAGGTAGTTTCCTTGTCCAGTTATCTTCCAGATATATCTTCCAGTTTATATCTTGTGACCTTTACACACTATAGTGGGCAATGTGTTTCCCTGCATAGTTGAGTGATTGGCTATTGTTGTCTTCAGTGTGCCTGTGAAATGCCAAATTGAAATTTTCAATGTGTGTGATCCACATAGTTAATAAAATCAATTTCCTTGGAAAGTGCTTGTGCCTGCTGTGTTACCACTTTCCCAGCACTGAGGACTCTCACATAAAGCTAAGAGTTTTGAATTCATTTCCTTGCTATCTGTACCAACTAGGGAAACTCAGGGAAGGTTTGTGGGTTGAAAGTGAATGAATGGCTTAAGTGCTCAATCCCTAGTCAGGCTTAATCCCTAGTCAGGACAGATGGAAGCTTAGAGTAGAAAATGTAGGATGAGTTTAAGATTTAGTTTTCACAAGCTCAAAAACCAGAGATGGGGGTAGGGGTGATTCAAGAGTTCTTCAACCAGCTCTGAAAGTTTTCAGGAATCTGAGGTGGTGGCCGAGAGAAAACCAACCCAACCCAACTTCAAAGCAATAAAATTCCACAAAGAAATGAATCCTCCCAAAGAACACTATATATAAGACTATCACTTGCTCCGATGAAATATAGATTGTTTTATCCTTTTAAAACTGTCTGATTGTGTCTATGCACCTCTTTCTTATTAAACCTGTGTTAGAGTTCAAGATATGCTGAGACACAGAACCGATGCAAAAGACAAGTACAGGCCTTTATTGTTAGCCTGGTCTAGGGTCTGATCCCTGGAGTGTACCGGCAAGGGGGCTCGCCCAGACGGGATGGACCCCGAGCCTCTGAACAGAGGGTCTAATATAGTGAAATTCGCGGCTGGGAAATTTCCAAAGTATGCAGTGCATTAGGATGAGTCACTCTCGGATCCTCCTTCATGCAGGTGGTAATTGCAACTGATGTCCTGCTGGTGCCTGGGCTTCTGATGACATCCAGGGCCTTCCATAATATCTCGTTAGTTTTTAACCACAAGTTTTTATTCCAATACTTTTACACCTGCCCCTTTCAATATGCAGCCTTCCTGCCCTTAATTAAAACTGCCCTACTGCCTCTATGCAGGTCTCTGTCCTAAAAACTGTAGTTTTGAAGTTGGTGTGTTAAGAGAGAAGGGCCTTTGGGTTTATTCGGGGAAAGGTTTCGCCAGAGCTCCCCTTTCATAGGCTTGCGGTGAGTTTCCCAGCCTACTTTCTCCGTGAGACAGAGATGTTATTTATATTTATAGAACAGGTTTATAGGGAAAGGGACAGAAGAATAATGGGCACTGGCATAGACACAAGCAGGTAGAAAGAGCTGCTCCAAATGGGACAGGTTTGCTAAGACAAAGGCTGCATGATCACAGCCAGCAGCCTTGAGGAATGCTGCCTCTGCTGAGGGAGGTCAGTGAAGAGAAGCCCCCCGCTCAGGTCTGTGCTCCAGACACTCCCTACCGCAGTGGGTCTGATACCTGCTTGGGTCTGATGCCTTGTGATAAGATACTGGCATCTAAGGATCTTGATTTCTGTTGCTGGGTTAATGGGCATATTAATCCCCTCATCCAACCTCCCACCTCTTTGTGTGAGTCAGGCTTTAGTGTCGTGATGCCTCCTTTAGGTTTTCTAGTCTCCACCATCAAAACCTCTAAAAATTAGCCTTTGCCTTACTTGAGGCTATGTAAATGTCTAAACTTGCCTTATGCCATTGAGGGGAAACAGCTGAACTCTTGGTCAAAGGGACCCAAGAGCCCCACTCAGTGAAGGCCAAAAAGAATCATAGAGCAAGAGTTTCCTTTCAGGTCTCCCCACCTTTGGGGGGACAGCATTATCTTTCCCCCCTGTGGCCCTAAGTCACCTCACCCCCCCCCCCCCAAAGTGCTGCTGGAGATTTGGGCATGGCTTGTATTGTTGTTCATTAACAAACTCTCCTCTTTCAGCTCCTGCTTCTTGGGCTTCTCTTCCTGTCTTTTCCCAATAGTTCCACTGCAGAGCATCTTTCAAAGAAACAAGTCATCACCCCTTCTCCTAAGGTTGTGCTCCTCTTAATAAGATCAAGCTTAGTGGGATGCCCTGGTGGCACAGGGCTTAAAATTTCAAAGCTATCAAGTTATCTCCAGCCACTGCAGCTCAAGTTCTGTCCCAGACCAGGGAGCTACCCACATGACACAGCAGACCTCTCCCGGTTCCCCTCAGCTGTATATTTCAGTAGCCCCGCCTGCCTGTTCTTTCTGCTCCCCACTGTCTCTGGTGAATTCTCTCAGCTCCCCGCACACCCCTTTGCTTCTGCCCCAGTTCTTGTATGCATTAAACAAAAAACCTTGGTCACCCCTCCCTGGTGGCTCAGTGGGTTAAAGCACTGCACTAAGAAGCCTAAGCCACTTCTGCATGAGTTCGATCCCTGCCTGCCCGGGAGGAGATCCACATGGCGCCACAGACCTCTCCTGACCCACCCGCTGCTCCCCTCAGCATCTGTTCTGCTCCCCACTCTGTCTCTGGTGGCTCCTCCCACCCTTCGCAACTCTGGCCTGTACCCCAGTTCTGTATGCATAAATAAATAAATCTTTTTTTTTTAAAGATTTATTTATTTGTGCATACAGAACTGGGGTACAGGCCAGAGACTCAAGGGCGGTGAGAGGCTTCACTAGAGACAGAGCGGGGAGCAGAACAGGCAGATCGACGAAGCACACTGCTGAGGGGAGCAGCGGGCGTGTCTGCCACGCCATGTGGTCACCTCCGGGGCAGGTGGGAATCAAACTCATGTGAAGTGGCTTTAGCTTCTCAGTGCTGTGCTTTAACCCGCTGCGCCATCAGGGAGGGCCAATAATTAAATCTTAAAAAAAAAAAAAAAGCCAAAACACCTTGGTCTTTGGCGCTGTGGACGGTGAAGGAGAGGGGCGAATTGTGGGAGGTGGGCGTTTGGGAGTTTGAACCATGGGGTGAGGGGTGTGTGTGGGCCCCAGGCTCCGGTGGATCTGAGGAGCTGGGGACCTGGGGTGGCGCCTCGCTTGGCGCAGCTGACTTGGGGGTGTCACCGCTAAGGGGGGGCCGAGGCACTCCTTGCCTAACAGGCTTGAATCTTGTGCAGACCAAGAAAAGACGGAATAATGGTCGGCCAAGAAGGGCCGCAGCCACGTGCAGCCTGCTATTCACTACACCAACTGCCCGGGGTGCATGCCCAGGAGGGACAAGGCCATTGAGAAGTTCGTCATTCGTAACATAGTGGAGGCCGCAGCCATCAGGGACATATCAGAAGCAAGCGTGTTTGACGCCTATGTGCTTCCCAAGCTGTATGTGAAACTACATCATTGCGTGAGCAGTGCCATTCACAGCAAAGTGGTCAGGAATCATTCTTGTGAGGCACGATAGAACACCCCCCACCCCGATTTACACCTGCGGGTGCTGCCTCACGACCACCTCCAAAGCCCATGTAAAGAAGTGACATAAAAGCCCATGTAATGACTGAAGAACAAGACAGAGAATAAAATGAAATTTATACATAAAAAAAATCTTAAAAAAAAAAAGGATCAAGCTAGTGGCTCAATTATTGTATTTTTCTGGTACACTAGTAAAGCTCAACGGTGTTTAACAGACTGCTTGAGTTCTTTACCATGATTTTACTGTCAAGAGAGAGCATTAACATTCATTCCTATGTAAACCATCCTTCTGGAATCAAGCTGCCCTTAATGTCACCCATTGTGAAGCCCTTCCTTCCCTATGGGCTTTTGGCGCATAACCTAACATGGAGCATAACCCAAAACCTTCGTCGTTGGAAACGCTTCGATGCTGGAAGCTCTTTTCAGCTCTGGAATTGTGTCACCCTTCCTGGGTCTGGTTCTTTCCCCCTTTGTTCCCAGAGTTTGATTTTATCTGTGACTTTGGGCTTCAATCCTTTCCAGAAAGAGGTAAGGCACGTAGTATATGATGAGAATGATTTCCTCTAAGTGTTCCCCGACTTTCTATTGTCCTCTAAGCTTCTGTCCCAGGCTGTAACACAAAGGACACGGCCATCATTCAGCGACCGTTGGGCTGCCAGGCACCCCATTCTGCGCTTCCTAATTACTAGAAGTGGTGGCGTCGAGACCCGGGCGCGGAAGACGACCGCGAGCTGACGCTCCAAGCCCACCGCTGCACTGAAAGTGGAGAGCCTGGCTCCGGATGGGGCCAGAGGCACAGCCCACAGCTCCCAATTCCGCGCGCCGGGGTTCCCGAAGACCCAGCCGGCGCGTCGAGCTGGAGGGCGGCGCGTGCGGCCTCGCTGATTGGCTAGTGAAGCCGGCACTGAAGCCAATGGGAGCGCTTCTTGTTGTCAGGCGCGCCGCCGGCCGGCTTGGGGGGTCTGGGTGGACAGGCCGTTGCTGTGGAAACGCCTGGTGAGTTCCCGGGCCCGCCGGTGTGCGGGAGGCTCTGGGTGAGGGCGCGGCTCTTCTCAGCTGGGGGCGGGGCTGGGGCGCCGGCTTGGGGGGCTTAGCAGCTGGGCGGAGGCCGGAGCTCGCGCCTCAGGATACCGCACACCGGAAACCGAGGCGAGAGAGAGCGAGCAAGTGTAGCCCCGTGGGTTTCCTCGGGCCCTCGTCGCGGCTCTGGGGTTCTTAGGACCCGCTCCGGCGTCGTGAGTCCTTCATTGTGAAGACAGCTGCAGTCACACCGATTTTCCGTCTGCTGAGTGCAGAGCGGGCTGCTCACCCTGGATTCCCGTCCTTCGGCTTCACCTTCACAGCTGTCCTGCTAGGTGAGTGCTGCAGTTAGCGCCATTTACGGGTTTGGAAACTGAGGCCGAGAGAAGGTGAAGTGACTTGTGTAAAGGCAATCGGCTAATCATTGGGTCCGCCTGAATCCAGACTGAGGATCTGACCACACTACCCCCCTGGAGGAGGCAGACCCAGGCTAGATCGAGTAGGCATCTGCACTGATGGTTTGGGGAGCTCCTTGAGCTGGGGCCTGGACTTCTGCAGGTGTGACTGTGGAACGATGGGATTCCGCGAGGCTAGGATTACCTATGCAGGATTCATAGAAGTACGGTTAGAACTGGAATGCGAATTCCTTCGGGGCTGGCAAGCTTTTGTTGTGTATGTTATAATATTTATAACAATGTTATAACTCGTTGTGACTATACTTAATATTTATGCGTATAATATGTTTTAGACTTTGGGAGCCCTATTCTGCTCAGCTCTGGCATTGTTTTGTGAGTACAACAGAAAACGTAAGCGAGTGACTCTCTTCCAACAAAATTTTATGTATGGGCATTGAAATTTCAGCTTTAGATAATTTTCATGTGTCATGAATTTTTTCCCAGCCACTTAAAAAAGTAAAAACCATTCTTTGTCCTGGGCTGTACAGGAACCCTGATTCTAGCGCAAAGCCTCATAGCAGTAGAGGAAGCTGAGCCCCAGAAAGGGTGTATGCCTAGGTAGTCAGTCATACAGCCAGGTAGTGCCCCAACTCAGCTTAAGACCCAGGCCAGAGTGTGCCTGGAAACACCATCACTTATTATTGAGTCTGGGTGCTGAACCCTCCAAGTGTGCTGTTTATCATGTGTTCTTAAGGCCATGGAAGCAATGGGCTTGAGAGTTTGGAAAGTAAATGTGCTGTTCTGAGAAAGTGCCACTGTTGGCTTGGGAGTCTGAGAAACGGAAGACATTGGATTTTTTTTAACTCAATGAGCTAGCTGCTGCTTTTAATTTTTTTAAGCCTCCTTTCACTGAACAATCCATTTAGGGCCCCCAATCCTCACATTGCTTACACCTGACAAATACATAATCTTAAAATGATTATTTATCTTATTGTAAACATTTGCTTTTTCCTTACCACTATCCCTTTGTGTCCTGTTTTCCTTTCCTTCTCTTGCCTTTAACCTCATAATGTTTATTAATGTCCATTGGTTTTTGAAAGTGTTTTACATTGTGGAATTGTCGACTATGTGAATATCCAATATTTGTTTTTATCATTCTGACTTTCATGTACTCAGTCCTCTCAGATTCCCACCATTTTGTTGAAAATGCATGCATTTCATCCTTTCTTGTGGCAGTGTGTAAGATTCCATGGTTGTATATGCTACATCTTTGTGACCCATTTGTCCATTGAAGAAGACATAGGCTGCTTCCATATCCTAGCTATTGTAAATGATATTCCTGTGAATGTTGTACAACATAAGGATTTTTTTTTATTGATGGTCTCATATCTCTAGATTTATGCTCAAGGTGGAATTGCTGGGTCATATGGTATTTCCATTTTTTTAAAAGATAAATTTGGATCGCTTTTTTTTTTT